TGAGGTGTAATCATGGACCACAGTGTGCCTTTTATTTTAGGGTCCCAACCTCCCTGCCAGCCCTTACCTGCCTACCAAAGCATTTTCTGCTTTACATTATCAGCATGTGGCACAAAGCTATGAATACAGTACATACTGTAGCAGAACTGATCAGGATTAATATGCTAGCTATGTATTTCTTAGTTACTAGGATAATAAAATAAAACATAAAGCACAACAAAAATTCTGAAACAATGACATGAAATACAACCACACTATCTGCAGTAGCACAGAAAAAGTACAGCAACTGAAAAAGGAAGTACTGACACTCACCAACATTTGGCACGATCTTCCTTGTGATCTCATGGTGCTGTTGTTTCCATCAGTGTCAGTTTTTCCAAAGAATGTCCTTCTGCAATTATTTCTCTGATTCAAAAGCCATGCAGATTCAGTAATGTCTGTCTGGGTTAGGCACTAACAGCAGGCAGACTGCAAGTCAATCTGTCTCATCCGTGTGATTGTAGAGCGCAGGTAATTCTGCACACAACAGGGTGCTCTCTGCTGTTGGTGTGTCCACAGGTGTTTTGCATTGGAAACTCATGCGCCTCAGCAAATACACTTCTTCGCTTTGGGCACCTCGTTCATCACGCACATGACTGGTGTTATAGTGACCTCCACTGCGGGCTTGTTCCCAGCATCTCTTCTCATGCCCAGTAACATTTTCAACTGTGTGAGCAAGAGACCATCATCAGAATCACTAGAATAAAATCCTGGTGGTGCAGGTCCAAAAGTAACGCTGTGATCAAGTGTACCAGGCAGCGTGGCAAAGCCAATGTACTATGTACCTTTTGATCAAAAGGTCAAAAGCACCAATGGAGTTCACTAGTTAGCAAGCTTTGTGATTTAAACTGGAGGGACAGTTGTATATTTTCTTGGTATTAAATGGAAGTTACTGACCGAAGTTTAGGAGGGATAAGAACAAAATGTCAATGAGGCTCAGCTGTACCTAGTCACCATCATTATGAAAGTAGCTATTGTATAAAACAAAGACAAATGCCCCCCTTTGCATCCGTCTCCAGCATCCCTCGTCTCCCCCATCTCTGCCTGGCAGCTGCCCCTCGGTTCACTCAGTCTGAATGGGGTTCGTGCCTCTTTGTCCTGTGGCCAGGGGGCTACCCGTTAGCCAAGCAGGTGAAGCCA